GTAATATAGTTTATTTCTTCCAAAATAACCTAGTCTCTGGAAAAGGTCCAGTGGATTACAAAGCAAACAATGTAATGCACCTACCTGGAACGGAAGAAAACAGGAAAGTATAGGTCTTTCAGCCTGATATCTGTCATTGGAAATTACATAAATAAATAGTAGGTGGGTATTTTTTTAAAAAAACTATAATCCAGCAGAGAAAATATGCTTATTGAAAGAGAAATCTTTCATCTGTTAGTATTTACAAGTACAAAATACAAATTTAGTAGATTTCATTACTGAATACATAGATAAATGGGAACGAGTAGATTTGAATTCCCCAAAAGTTGTTGAAAAGGGTGCTAAATAAGAGATTACTGAGCAAGATCTTAAATTAGCACAGATAGAGGATTAACCAACCAACAGAAAACAGAGAATTGGGATTAATGTGTCATTTTCAGGTTAGTAAACTCTGGGGCCTCAACTATTTCTAATCCATATTATTGACTCAGTTGAAGCGATCGAGTGTGGTCTATTCAAATTTAGAGACAAAAAAACTGCAGATGCTGGAATCCAAGGTAGACAAAGAAGAGACTGGAAGGACACAGTAAGCCAGGCAGCATCTGGAGGAAAGGAGCAGTCAACGTTTTGGACATAACCTTTCTTCAGTACTGGATGTGGGAGTAGCGGAAGCTGCAGATAAAGAGGGGGTGGGATGGAGGTGGAATGGTTTGATAGGTGGAAACTGGTGGTAGGTATGACCTGGTTGGTTGATGGGAGGAATGAATCCAGTTGGTGGCTGGAAGGAAGGGTCAGAAGGTGGAATGGAAGAGAGGAGGTGGGGCTGGAAAGGGAGCCATGGGATGGATGGGAAGATTATTTGAAATTGGAGAACTTAATGTTGGTCCTCCAGGCTGGAGGGTACCTAGGCGGAAGATAAGGTGTTGTTCTTCAAATCTGTGTTGCAAGTCGCTGCGACACTGGAGGAGGCCAAGGACGGACATGTTGGAGAGGGTGTGGGGCGGGGAATTGAAATGGGCAGTGATCAGGAGGTCAGGTTGGCTGTTACGGGCCGGGCGAAGATGCTCGGCAAAATAGTCACCTAGTCTAGGTTTGGTCTCACCGACATAGAGAAGACCACGTCGGGAGCATCAGATGCAATAGACCAGGTTGGAGGAGATGCAAGTGAAGCTCCAGGAGGCGCGGTGGAGGGAGATCCCAATGTGATCTTCTCTAAATCAGTGAGACCAAACGTAGACTAGGTGACCATTTCACTGAACATCTTTGCCTGGCCCATAACAGCCAACCTAACCTCATGGTCACCGCCCATTTCAACTCCCCGCCCCACACCCTCTCCAACATGTCCATCCTCAGCCTCCTCCAGTGTCGCAGCGACCCAGAACGCAAATTTGAAGAACAACACTTTATCTTCCACCTGGGCACCCTACACCCCAGAAAACTCAACATTGAGTTCTACAATTTCAGATAACTTTTCCCACCCATCCCATGGATCCCTTTCCAGCCCCACCTCCTCCCTTCCATTCCACCTTCTGACCCTCCCTTCCAGCCACCAACTGGACTCATCCCTCCCATTGACCAACCAGGTCGTACCTACTACCAGTGTCCACCTATCACCACCATTCCACCTCCACCCCTCCACCCCTCTCTTTATCTGTAGCTCCCCTTACCCCCATATCCAGGCCTGAAGAAGGATAATATCCAAAATGTTGACTGCTTCTTTCCTCCAGATGCTGCCTGGCTTGCTGTGTTCTTTCAGCCTCCTGTTTGTCTACCATCTAATCGAATTTGCTGGGGATACAAAGTTAGGTATGAAAACAGGTTATGAGCAGGACCCACTGAGTTTATAAAGAGATATATGTGGGTGAAGTAAGTGGACAAAATTTAGCAGACGGACTATAATGTGGGAAAATGTGAGGTTATCTGCTTTGGTACTCAGAATACAGAAAATTGTGGCAC